CCACCCAGACAGCAACATTGAGGTAAGTAACCAGAATATTACCGAAGCAATAATCTCCACAAGCACAGAGCATTTTCCGCAAACAAAAGAATTCATCACCCCACGCTTCAACAAACCCTGGTGGAACCAAGCTTGTGCTCACGCAGTGGAGGCAAAACGAGCTGCCAAGCGAGCCCTGATTGCCCTCCCATCTCAGGCAAACCTAATCAACTTCAAGCGCAGTCAGGCATTGGTTAAGAGGGAGGTAAAACTTGCAAAGAAAGCATCCTGGACAAAATATTGCAGCTCAATTACCTCAGATACTCCCATATCAACATTATGGAAGAAAATAAAGCAAATACAAAACCCATATCAGAGAAGAACACAACCTTTTATCCAGCCAGACCTGACAATTATCTCTGACTCTCCTTCCAAAGCAAATGCACTTGCTTCTCACTATGAGAGCGTGCTGTCAGCACCTGTGCCATCTCCATACCCCTAGTTTATAATCCTCCCATTAGCACTTGCATTGAGTGAAGACACTTATTCCCCCATCAATTCTCCTTTTCAGCTACATGAATTAGAATGCTGTTTGCACTCATTGAGGAATACATCTCCAGGTATTGATAGAGTGCATAACCAACATCTTGCTCATCTCCCTCAGGAGTTTTGTATGTGGCTGTTAGAGATATTCAACCAAAGTCTGAGGACCGGCATTGTTCCACAGTCTTGGAAGGAGGCTTTAATTATTCCCATAGCTAAATCAGGCAAACCACTGACATGCACCTCTTCCTATAGACCTATCTCCTTGCTGTCCTGTGTTGGAAAGCTGATGGAAGCAATGGTAAATAAACGTCTCACATTCTTCCTTGAGCAGAAGCAGGCCCTGCGGCCTTCCCAGGGGGGGTTTCGTTGCCGCATGTCGGCAATTGATCAAGTAGCCCGACTGGAAGCTGCCATCCACCGTGCTCTCCACACAAAGTCAGTACTGCTAGTCTGCTTTGTTGATCTGAGTAATGCCTTTGACAAGGTGTGGCATACAGGCCTCCTGTATAAGCTCAGTTGCTGTGGAGTGCGGGGCGCTCTCTTAACACGTTGGCCGCGATTGCTGATTTGGCCCAAATGCCGTATGGGCGATAGGTTCAATCTTGTATATCTTTAGTTACCCGGCAGATAGCAACCGAGAAAAGTTGTGTGCAGCTCTGCAGGGGTACGTTCTGTCATTGTGTCACGTAAAATAGGTGGCCGTATTTGGTGCACATCGCTCAGGGTTGAAATTTATCATTATTCCTGGCGATGTGTACCAAATGAAGCCATGCCTGTTGTGGCTCATATTGGCTCACGTCGCCTATTGTAATCACTTCTAATACTATGGGCGATGTGTACAAAGCAAAGACGTGCATCTATATCTCATATTGCCAAAAAACGCCTAAAGTTATAACTTTTATTACTGTGAGTGATGCGCACAAGTAACCTATATTAGTTTTGAGTCACAATTGCACACATAATGACTACCGGTATCTCTTAGCTTTTTGTGAATGATGTATATTACGCATGGAAATTACTATGGAAAGAGATTGGTGTCCAGGTTTTCATAATCCTGAATGAAATTGAGGGTATTTACATTGTTAGTTCAGTTATATTTACCTTATAGAGATCATTCATCGTATATACTGTATTGTCTTGAGCTTCTGTTACAAGCAGCATCTCAGAGAGAGTAAAATCAGGATGTAGACATCAAATTATCAAGTGGGACAGAGGACAGCCCACTTTCATTTAACCAGCTAGAACTAAAACCAGGATGCGCTGCCATGAATGCTACAATATTGTTGCAGGGAGCATAATTGAGCTAGGTTTTAGCACATCCCTTACTGCCTTCTCCCATTTAGCTGATTTTAACCTATATCTGATGTATTCATTATTAACATTGCCATGTTTCTCTTATCTCGTTCCAGCTTCAATTTATTTTCCATTACCAGTGTCATTGCCTTGATGTGAAGCTGTGGTAATTTGTCTGATCAATTGGGAAGTCAGAAGGCTATTATTGCTTGTTAGAAGGACTATTGCCTAGGTGAGTTTACTGCTGTTGTTGTCCCTTCAGGCTAATGGTAAGATGATGCTAAGTGTCTGAGCGTCACTGTCTTGCTTAAGTCNGGCTCTGCCGGGTTCCATGGCTCCGCCGTGTTTTGTTTTCTTCAGCGGGTTTGCCGTCATTATGTTATTGCATTCATATTTTATTGTTCTTTTGTACTATAATTTATTTATTTATTTCTTATTAATTTATAATTTTTGTATTTTCTTTGTTCTGTTATTTTGTTGTTTGCTGTTTTGTTGTTTGTTTTTCCTTAATATTTATTTCATTCAATACTTTTATCCTTATTATTTATCTATGTTTAATTTTGCATTAAAAATGTATTATTTATATTTATTCATTATTATTATTTAATTTTTTATAATTTTTATTTTATTTTATTTTTATTTATTTATTTATTTATTTATTTTTTTGTTATTTTATTTATTTTTCTGTTATTTTTAGTTTTTTTTCTTGTTTTTTTTTTTCTTTTTCCGTGTGTGTGTGTTCTCTCTTTGTTTCAGATTTTAACTTTCAGAGCTGTTAGAGTGTTAGGTACCAATTAAACCCAGTTTAGGCAAGGGGCTTTATGGACTAGCTTCCAGTGCTCCTATAAGAATAAATTAGAAAGAAAGAACATGATGGAAGTCTTGCAGCTAAACGTGTATTCAA